CAGCATGTGGCCACAGTAAAACTGCGTGCACTGAACTTCACGCCGCATTAGCTGTGACCGTCTGTTTCCGGGGAAATGGACAATACTCATGCACATACGTATAATTGTTTAGTCACAGAGCTGTTCGAGATGTTTGTTCAGCAGTGGACAGTAGATCATTGGCTCTCACTGTGTTCCAGATGCACTATTAAAGCTGACATCACTCTTTTGCATAAGTAAGAAAAAAGAGAGAGCAGATAGATAGAGCAGAGAGATCAGACCACAGGTGTCAAAGTCAAGGCCCGCGGGCCAAATCCGGCCCGCGAATGAATTTTACATGGCCTGCCATTGACGCACTATTACGTCAATTGCGTTTTTCCGCTATTTTCATGTTCCCAGATGTCTATTATATCTAATGTGTTTGGGGATAAGCTTGAGAGCATATTGAATCGAGCCAGCAGGTGGCAGCAGAGCTCTCTGAATGGTTTGAAAACAGCTAGATGCACTTGTTGTGCCTCTTTTTCTCAGCTTTTTCAGTAAAACTTCCCTCTACTCAACTGGGAATTACAAGCTAGAAACAAAATTATTTTTGCTGATGAAAGTAGACAGTCTATTCTTTCAGAATCTAGTTTCGGATTTCAGATAGTCATAGTACACAATATTCTGTGGGTCTTGAAAAATCAATAAAAATCATCAGAAACTGCTGGCAATATGGGAGTACCTGTTCTGAAATAGGCTGGCAGGCAATGAGTTAATAAACATTAAACCAGTCCGGCCCTCGGCTCGCAGCAAATTTGTTTTTTTGGCCCTCTGATGTATTTGACTTTGACATGCCTGGATCAGACAGAGAGAGCAGAGAAAGAGATCAGAGAAACGGACCAGAGAGAGAGAGACCAAAGAGAGACAGGAAAGAGCCTAGAGAGAGACAGACCAGAGAGAGGGACCAGAAAGAGAGAAGAGAGAGGCCAGAAAGAGGGAGAGAGACAGGAAAGAGCCAAGAGAGAGACCAGAGAGAGGGACCAGAAAGAGAGAGCAGAAAGAGAGCAGAAAGAGACCAGAACGACGGAGAGACCAGAGAGACACCAAAGAGACCAATGAGAGATTGGCGAAAGAGTCCAGAGAGAGACCAAAAAGACCAGAGATTGACAGGAGAGAGAGAGAGAGAGCAAAAACAGGGACCAGGAAGAGCCACAAAAGTTTTCTTGACTTTCAGACTTTACATGAAGGTAACTGTCATGTTATACCAGCAGGTTAATGGTGTTGGAGCATATAAACGTGGTGCATTAGGAGCACATCAGCTGGGACCTCTCATACCCGAGCGGGAATACAAAAGGAATCCTGTGTTATACAAATTTGTTTCACCGCAAAAGGTTCCTGGACTCGTGGAAAGTCCCAGAGCAGGAGCTGAATAGAACCCCCACTCTTTACTTCACTAAAAACTCCAAAAGTGCCAAAATGCCTGTTATCTACAAGGTCCATATTTCCCTAGTTTGACAGCATGATAAGAGTGGACAGTTAGAAGATTCCTAAAGTTCATGCTCAGCCAGAAAAAGACTTTATTGACGTCTAAAGACCGGCGCTGCCGAGCTGAGTCGATGAGTGACCCTTTAGACCCGCTATTGTCAAAACGTCGATAATGAGACGAGAGCAAAACGTCCACAGAGCAGGGGGCATCGTCATGGTGACCAGGCCCCGGTGATGGAGCTTCATCTTGGAAAAGATAATGAGATGTTATACATACTGAGAGCTGATTGGCTGAGTGAGGGTGGTCCTGTCTTTGTCACTTTTGAGAGTAAATGGATGGTGTTGATTGGGGGCTGATGCGCCAGTGTGTTCGGCAACTCACTTCCGTCATCACCGTGTGTGGAATGATTGGAACAATATCTGAACTCTGAACATTGTAAAGCGCTTTGGGTGACCTTGGTCTGTAAAATGCGCTATATAAATAAACTTACTTACTTACTTTTCTGCCTGAAAAAGCTGATCTAGAGATGTGACGGAGACCAGAAACACATGTGAAGACTAACAAGTGATAGAAGTTTTAGAGCCAGGAACTAGAAACATGGGTTTCATAACAGAGTCCCATTGTTGTGGTTTGAAAGCTACGCACCGCAGCTTTAACAAAACTCTTCAAAACAAAACTAAAATTCCCACCTCCTATAGCCACGTTTCTCCAAACACAAGCGCTGCTACCTGACGACCAGGACCGGAGGCCAAAGCTCATCCAGCTTATCCTGCTCGCTGATATTTAGAGGCTCAAAAAGTATGTAAAGGGGATGGAAATGACACAAGGGGAGAGAAACCAGAGAGAGACCAGATAGACTTAGAGAGAGACTAATGAGAGACTTAGAGAGAAACCAGAGAGAGACCAGATAGAGACTAGAGAGAGACCAGAGAGAGTCCAGAGAGACTTAGAGAGACTAGAGAGAGACTAATGAGAGACGTAGAGAGAGAGAGAGAGACCAGAGAGAGACCAGAGAGAGACAAGAGAGAGACTACAGAGACTACAGACAGACTTGAGAGGGACCAGATACATTTGATTTGAACATGCTGTCTCCATCTTATCAGGAAACATCTTATCTTTGGTGAAAGAAGGAGCCCAGTGGGTCACATTTTGACTCTTTAGGCCAGGGGTGTCAAACTCATTTTGGTCTGGGGGCCATATACAACCTAAATGGATCTCAACTGGGCAGGACTTTAGGCTGAGAGCTAATTGGCTGAGGGTGAGGGTGGTCCTTTCTTTTTTATCTTGTTTTATCTTTACAGAAGAGCGTCAGTCTTTGATTACAAGGCAGAGTAGAGTCGGTCTTCGGTGCTTTCTAAACATTCTATGTCGTAACATGATCCAAATCTCTCGTCTGCCTCCTGGAGTGTCAGCTTTTCACGTGAACAGGTGGAACCAGAGATAAACGCTGTGAGGATCCATGTCCAGGAAACATGAGTGACAGCAGGGGGCGGGACAGGAAACAGGAAATGGCAGCTGACTCGCCGACTGTTGATGGAATGTTGACTTGGTCACCAAAGAATCAAGGTTAAAAAATGTAAGCCAAAGTTTAAAAAAAAATTCAAGGACACAGTGTGGTTTGCTTCAAAATATGATTCATTCAATTCAATGCATTTGTGTCTCGCTCCAAATAACAACAGCTGTCGTCTCGGAGGACTTCACAAAGATGAGGATTCTCTAACAACAGATCTGACTTTGTTTTTACAGCATTTCGAACACAGGAAATGCAATGATAACAAACACATTGGTCCATTTTCCACGGTGGGGAAATGTCAGTGTTGCATCACAAGTTTACAGAACAGTAGGAATGAGGAGAAGACAGCACAGGATGTACAGTAGGTGAATATTAGATAAGCACAACGTTATAATGAAATACATTCTACAGAAGTAAAGTTTCACATTACTCTTTCACATTAACCTCTAACTCGTTTTATCTCGATATATACAGTGTCTTCAAAGCTGAAATATGACTGACTTTTTAGCTCATACATTATTTTATCTTTTTATATTGTAAATGTATACATTTTAGGAAAGAACCGCCCTCTCCACTTTCTCAACAAAACTCTCTGGTCTTTTATGACGAGCACGTATCACCAGAATGATTGACAATTGGAAATACCAACAGTCTTGACGATCCACCCGGAAGTAGAAAATCCTCCTATATACCTTTAATCGTATTAGAAAACATGTTATCTTTTGCGTTTGAATGAGCCCTGTGAGCCACTATTTGATTCTTTGGGCTGAGAGCTGATTGGCTGAGTGAGGCTGGTCCTCTTTTTTTTCATTTTTATGTCTGAAAAAGCTACGGAGGTAAATGTTCTAAAAACCGAGGCACATGATGTAAAAACAGGAACTCAAGAGATGGGTTTTGCTACATAGTTCTATTGTTGAAATTTAGGGACCCTAGCTTTAATTAGGGGCTCATGAATCATCATTGGGAGACAGAGTTTAGCTATGGACAAATAGATCCATAAGTCGTTTTATAAAATTGCTCTATATCTTTGCAAACACATATTTGAACATCTGCTCGTCACTGCTTGCAGGATACCAGGGGTTAAGTGGTGCAGGGTCGGTTTGGGCGAAAGGTCAGAGGTCAAGGGTGCACTCAGGACGGGGACTTGACCGCTGACCCGCTCCTTTGATTGAAGGGAAATATCAACACAGAAACATGCGGCGCCCTCTTTGGCTCATATGATCACTTCAAAGAGGTTTGTTCTCATGGATTTTGCCCTCTCTTTCTGGTCTCTCTCTCTGGTCACTTTCTTTGGTCACTTTCTCTGGTTTCTCTCTGATCTCTCTCTCTGGTTTCTCTCTCTGATCTCTCTCTCTGGTCACTTTCTCTGGTTTCTCTGGTCACTCTCTGGTCTCTCTCTCTGGTCTCTCTATCAGATCTCTCCCTGGTCTCTCTATCTGATCTCTCTCTCTGGTCTCTCTCTCATCTATCTCTCAGATCTCTCTCTCTGGTCTTTCTCTCTCGTCCGTCTTTCCGGTCTCTCTCTGGTCTCTCTCTCTGGTCTCTCTATCATATCTCTCTCTCTCTGGTCTCTCTCTCTGGTCTTTCTCTCTCGTCCGTCTTTCCGGTCTCTCTCTGGTCTCTCTCTCTAGTCTCTCTAAATGATCTCTCTCTCTGGTCTTTCTCTCTGGTCTCTCTCTGGTCTCTCTCTCTGTCTCTTTCTGGTCTCTCTCTTGTCTCTCTTTGGTCTCTCTCTCTGGTCTCTCTCTCATCTTCTCTCTGGTCTCTCTCTCGTCTCTCTCTGGTCTCTCTATCTGATCTCTCTCTCTGGTCTCTCTATCTGCTCTCTCTCTCTGGTCTCTAACGCTGGTCTCTCTCTCTCTCTGGTCTCTGAGGCAAAGTCTTCATACGTTATGTTTCCAAATGTAACTCTCTTGGAGTTGTTATTCTTACTCAGATGTTTGGGGTCAGAACTAAAACAGAATGCCTCAGATTTGCACTTCCTGCTCTGAGATCCTGAACCACTGCTGCCTTTTGTAAAGAGCTCTTCTGTCGCCGCCACATTCAGAGAAGCTTACGGACGTTTGAACAGGACCCAGACGTCAACATAAGGAGAGAGTCTGTGTCAGCCAGCACTTTGATGTGAGGAGAGGAGGGATGAAGGGGAGGAGAGGTGGAAAAGAGGGGGAGAGTGAGGAGGAGGGATGAAGCAGAGGAGAGAGAGCGGGAGGAGGAAAAGGAGAGGAGAGAGAGAGAGAGAAGGGGGATGAAGGAGAGAGAGAGAGAGGAGGATGAAGGCGAAGAGAGGAGAGGAAGGGGAGGGATGAAGGGTAGGGATGAAGGGGAGGAGAGAGAGGAGAAGGAGAGAGAGGGAGGACGATAAAGGGGAGGAGAGGAGAGAGGAGGAAAAGGATAGGAAAGAGAGGAGGGATGAAAGAGAGGAGTAGAGAGAGGGGAGGAGATGGAGAGGAGAGTAGGGATGAAGGGAAGAGAGAGAGGGAGGAGGAAAAGGAGAGGAGAGAGAGGGATGAAGGAGAGGAGCAGAGGGAGAGGAGAATAGGGATGAAGGGGAGGTGAGAGAGGAGCGGAAAGAGAGAGGAGGATGAAGGGGAAGAGAGGAGAGGGAAAGGAGGGATAAAGGGAGAGGAGAGAGAGAGGAGGGATGAAGGAGACGAGTAGAGAGAAAGGAGAAGGTGGAGAGGAGAGTATAGGGATGAAGGGGAGGATGAAGGAGAAGAGAGGAGAGAAAAAGGATGAGAGGGGAGAGGGGAGTAGAGGAAAAAGAGGAAGAGGAGGAGTGGAAAGGGAAGGGAGAGGAATGGAAGAGGATGAAATGCTCTCCCAAATCACATTACCGGTACGCAGAAGGATGAGCTTCAGAAAGAGATGTTTCAAAAGCCTCCTTCAGTTCTGTTAAAGCTGGGGTTCCTGACTTTGAAACCATAAACAAATAAACTATGTCATAAAATACTCTCGTCACTGTTCGGTTCTATCATGTGCCACATGCATGTACTGTTGGATGTTTACTGTTCTCTCTCTGGTCCCTCTCTGTTCTCTCTCTGGTCTCTCTCTGGTACAGGTTTACCTGTACCAGAGAGAGATACCCTCAGATTAAAGCTGACTCTTCGCAGTCAAAGTACATCCTGTTTGTGCCATTTCAAATTTGTGGTCGTGGGGAAAGAGTTGAGAATTGTGTCTCAATATGTTCGGCCTTAACGGTATTTCATCTCGGCTTTCGATACTGAAGACAGGAGCTCCCAGAGGCCCTCCTCACCAGCTCCAGTCTATAGTGCGGGGGAGGTCCGGAGCAGCAGGGGCCTGTGGTGGTGGGAGGGGGGTATGGCCCGAGGGAGCCTGCAGGAAACGCATCTCTGTTCTGGGCTGGGAGGCTGTGCCCTCTCCCTGTGGAGGAGTGAGGAGTGATACAAAGACTGTGTTATGAGTCCAGACCTCACAACCTACTAAACTTTACTCAGGGAACTGCTAAAGACTGACTTGACTTTTCACAAAACACAGTAAACATGATGATTCTGATATAGACTGTATACAGATGGATAATGCTGAGGATGTGCAGGCTTTAAGTGTACAGTAGCTAAACTAGCCTACTATCAAAAGTATAGGCTATAAAAACATAAAAGGCATTCAGTTTATGTTTAGGTTTATGTTTACCTCAACGCACCACTTGACAACTCTGCTAGACAATATTTGGTGCTTTAAGTTGAACTACCTTTTTGTTGTGTTGATGAAATTGTAGAAATACAATTAATCAATCTGCTTTTTGCCTCAAAGTTCACATACCTGCATTACAGCTCTGTCTGTTTGATATCGATCATGCCACAGGCTGGAGTTAAAGTAGAGTCGAGTAGAGTTAGAGTTGTTGAGCTGTTTATTCACTAATCAAGGAATCAAACAGCTAAAACACAAGAAATGCAACAATAAAAAACATCAGATTCAGATTCAGATTCAGTTTATTTGCCATTTGCAGTAAAAAAAACCACATAGGAATACATTAGCGAAAAGTCTCCAGTGTGCACAGACAAATACAGACATAAAACAACATTAAAAGACAAAAATAAAACAAATAAAACAGTAAACAAAAGTCACTGTGAAATCGATCGACTAAAACAGTTCAAAACAAGTGCAAATCATTAAAGTGCTCTGTTCACACTGATAACAGCTTGTGGATAAAAACTGTTAGCGTAACGAGATGTCCTGCATCTCAGAGAGCGATATCTTCTGCCAGAGAGAAGAAGCTGGAACATGGCTTTCCCCGGGTGGCCAGAAGAGTCATTGACAATCCTAAGAGCTTTGTTTAAAAGTCTGGATTTATAAAGAACCTCCAGAACAGGAAGCTCACAGCCCACGGTCCTCTTTGCAGAGCGGAGCACCTTGTTTAAAGCTCTCTTTTCTTTATCTGTGATGTTTCCAAACCACACAGACACAGAACCAACAAGTAAACTCTCAATGGTGCAGCGATAAAAGTTAAGCAGAATCTTAGAGTTAGTGGTAAATTCTCTAAGTTTACGCAGAAAGTAGAGATGCTGACGAGCTTTCTTAACGACTCGGTCAGTGTTTTTAACCCATTTCAGGTCGTTAGACAGAGTTAAACCCAGAAATTTGGCACTCCTCTACGAACATATAGAATAATTGGGCCATAAGGGGCAGATGATCAATGCCCATGTATGTTAATAGATCCTTGATTCTCCTGAGACCCTCCAGCATCTGCAAAGAGTGGGAGAAAAATGAGAAAACCTTGGGGAGGCTCACATTGAAGGATAGTTAAATTTTTGTGCTGTGAAAGTACCGCACCCCAGATTTAAGTATTGCCAGACTCAGAAAGGACACCACAGACTCAGAAAGCACACCAGTCTCCCTCGCGGTGATCTGTGTGTGACCGTAGACCTCCTGCTCTCTAATTCTGTGTGTAATTCTGTGTAATACCAGGAGGCGTGTGATTGGTCATTACCTGTGGTCAGACCGGGTCAGAGGCAACAGCTGCTGGGTCCGTGTCGGGTCAGTTCTCGGGTCTCGGGAGGAAACTCGCCTCATGCCTCAGCCTTATGTCTGACACTCTATACAGGCCATTACTGAGAGCCGAGCGCTGGAGGAAGAAGCACTTAGAGCAGCCATCTGCGCACCCCGCTTTGAGAATCACAGCTCACACAAGCTCAACAAGTTTAAAATCCCAACGGAGAAATCAAGTTTGAACGCTGTGTTTGTCAGTGACATCACCACAGTGTTAGCATTAATGCAGAAGCCATAGCTGGAGCCCATTACCTTATATGGGCATTTCTTCCGCAGCCAAATTTCACCATGAGCACTTCCCTATTGGTCTTTATCAATCTATGTGTGTGTGTGTGTGTGTGTATTGTGAGGTGTGTGTAAGTGTGTGTTGTGAAGTCTGTGGGTCGTGTGTGTGTGTGTGTGTGTCTGTGTGTAGTGAGCAGTGTGGATCCTGTGTGTATGCGTGGGGTTGTAAGTGTGTGTTGTGAAGTCTGTGGGTCGTGTGTGTGTGTGTGCGTGTAGTGAGCAGTGTGGATCCTGTGTGTATGCGTGGGGTTGTAAGTGTGTGTTGTGAAGTCTGTGGGTCGTGTGTGTGTGTGTGCGTGTAGTGAGCAGTGTGGATCCTGTGTGTATGCGTGGGGTTGTAAGTGTGTGTTGTGAAGTCTGTGGGTCGTGTGTGTGTGTGTATGTGTGTGTGTGTGTGTGCGTGTGCGTGCATGTAGTGAGGCTTATATGTGAGTGTATGTGTGTGTTGTGAGAAGTGTGGGTCCTAGGTGTGTGTGCATGTGTGTAGAGAGGTTTGTGTGGGTGTGTGTGTATTGTGAGGTTTGTGTGTTCTGAGGCGTGTTGGTCCTATGTGTGTGTGTGTGTGTGTGTGTGTGTGTGTGTGCGTGTGTGTGTGTGTTTTGAAGCGTACAATGACCAGCTGCTCATCTGACCTGGTACAGTGCATTCTAATGGAGCCACATTACCTGACATTAGAGCTGACATTAGAGCACGCCGGGCTGGAGCGAGATGGCGAGCTAACCAGGAGCGCCGTGTTCCAAATCCAACAACATCCTAATGCGTCTCATCCACGGCCGCAGAGCGAGAAAGGCCCATCAGGCAAATTCGGCTCTTTACCCACACAATAATACACACTCTAATGTGTTTTTGTGGACATGAAAAGCTACATTGACTCTACATTTTTAGCATTTAGCTGTAGTAATAAATCAAACATACAAGTCATGTATGCTAACAATGGTGGTGATCCAGGGCACTCCATATTTATCAGCATTTATGGACTTTGGTGATCAGCCCCCTATTTGTGTTTTTCAATCATTGCATTTTTTGTGTTTGAACGGTTTGGTTCCCTGATCTGTGTTGGCGAATTCAGCAATTTTGTTAAGTCCTCCAAAGAAAACTACTGTTGCGGTTTAGGGCAGTGCAAAAATAAAATTGAATTGAGTTGAATTGAAAGAAAATACAAGAAACGGACGCACAAAACACCACTGTTCATGTCGACATTTATACGACAACAAACAATTTAGAACTGATATAAAATGAGTTTGTGTCTCAGTTTGAGGAGCTGCTCTTTGGAAAGACTCATCAGACGACCATGTGGAGAGAGAGTGACGCCTGAAGCACAGAGCGAGTGGTGGGAGAGAGGTGTAGGGTCGGAGAGTGTTGGGCCCAATGCAGACACAGGGAGAAGATGCAAACTGCACTCAGAAAGGGATTTTCTTCACTTGGAGTCAGACCCAGGAGCTCCTGTCCATGTAAATATATCACAGAAGTAACTAGTTACTTCCAACAATGCTGGTTGTCGAGCTGTTCTACTCTGCTGCTCTACTCTCCTCTAATTTACTCTGCTCTAATTGGCTCTGCTCAACTCTAGATAAGATAAGATAGACTTTTACATGTGGATAGAATCACTCAAGATTTGTGCAAAGAATGATTTGTGCAAACATGTTAAATGCTGGATATATTATGTACAATAAAAAGTGGCAATTTAAAGAAACATGGCAATAGTAGAGCAAGTGTTTTTTTTGTTGTCCTAGTGCAAGTGACTCATTGTACAGTCTGACAGCAGTGGGAATAAAGGCCCTGTGGTAGCGGTCCTTCTTGCACTGTACTCTTCTCTTCTCGACTCTAATTTACTCTAATGTACTCTAATTTACACTACTGTACTCTAATTTACTCTACTCTAATTTACACTACTGTACTCTAATTTACTCTACTCTAATTTACACTACTGTACTCTAATTTACACTACTCTACTCTAATTTACACTACTGTACTCTAATTTACTCTACTCTAATTTACACTACTGTACTCTAATTTACTCTACTCTAATTTACACTACTGTACTCTAATTTACACTACTGTACTCTAATTTACAATACTGTACTCTAATTTACTCTACTCTAATTTACACTACTGTACTCTAATTTACTCTACTCTAATTTACACTACTGTACTCTAATTTACACTACTGTACTCTTCTCTTCTCGACTCTAATTTACTCTAATGTACTCTAATTTACACTACTGTACTCTAATTTACACTACTGTACTCTTCTCTTCTCGACTCTAATTTACTCTAATGTACTCTAATTTACACTACTGTACTCTAATTTACTCTACTCTAATTTACACTACTGTACTCTAATTTACTCTACTCTAATTTACACTACTGTACTCTAATTTACACTACTGTACTCTAATTTACTCTACTCTAATTTACACTACTGTACTCTAATTTACTCTACTCTAATTTACACTACTGTACTCTAATTTACTCTACTCTAATTTACACTACTGTACTCTAATTTACACTACTGTACTCTAATTTACTCTACTCTAATTTACACTACTGTACTCTAATTTACTCTACTCTAATTTACACTACTGTACTCTAATTTACACTACTGTACTCTAATTTACACTACTCTACTCTAATTTACTCTACTCTAATTTACACTACTGTACTCTAATTTACTCTACTCTAATTTACACTACTGTACTCTAATTTACACTACTGTACTCTAATTTACAATACTGTACTCTAATTTACTCTACTCTAATTTACACTACTGTACTCTAATTTACACTACTGTACTCTAATTTACAATACTGTACTCTAATTTACTCCACTCGCCTTCACTCTAATCTATTCTACTCTACTCTTCTCTATTGTACTCTAATTTACCCTACTGTACAATACTCTATTATAATCTAATCTAGAGTAAGATAGTCTATGGGAATGACCTACAATAGAATTTGTAAATACACGTGTACACACACACACACACACACACACACACACACACACACACACACGCACACATATAAATACATATACATACATATTTGAATGACTTTTTAGTGCGCCGTGGCCTGTGGTGCGACCCTAATCCCACAGAGCCTTCTTACGGACTCCCTGATGCCCACAGTAGGGGGGGGGGGAGCGTGGAGAAGGGGCTCTCACGGCGGCTCAGAGCCCGGCCTCAGGAGCCAAACCCTGTCAGGAGGATTAGTCACAGCAAACAAAGAGCTCATTTTGACTTCTGCTGCTTTTACGTTTATGTCTTTATGAAGAGTCTCTCCTGCTCTCTCCAGGAAGTCAGGAATGTTACACACCTCAGTTCCATCATGAGCATGTTGATGTCCGGACCCTCTGGCACCAACATGAGCCCCAGCCCTTCTTTCCAAATGCTCTGTTTTCAAACTCATTACACTTCGACAAATCATTATACTATGACATGAGCAGAGCTGTTTTAGACTTAAGTACATCCACTGCTACTATAACTGCTCCAATCTATCATTTTTATTATTATTATTATTATTACTGCTGCTGTCATTGCTGTTACTGCTGCGGCTGTTACTTTTACTGCCTTGTCTGATTCTAAGGTTTCTTTTCTTGTTTTGTTAAATTCTCAGAGGTGCCTGAACTGTGCAAATAAACAAGTTTTTCTAGAGCTGCATTTGTCTCCAGTGTCTCCAACTCTAAACTGCTCACTGGTTGTTCCAAATGAGCTGTAACCCTGCAGCTCGAGTCCTGACTAGAACCACATTTTCCTAGATCACATTAGTCCTGGTCTCAGGTCTCTGCACCGGCTCCTGTGGCTCAGAGAATAGACTTTAAAGCAGTCTCTCCATGGACTCACACCAAAGAACATCCCAGACCTGTTAGTGCCATAAGAACCAAGAAAAAGCACAGGGACTGGCCTCCTGCTGGGACTCTGAGGAGCACAGGGACTGGGCTACCACAAGACTAAACATGGGGAGGCAGCGTTTCAGATTAATGCACTGTGGTTATTAATTATGATTAAAGTTGTTTTGCTTGTTTTGTTCAGCACTCTGAGTTGCCGTGTATACACTGTGTGATACGAATAAACTTGCCTTACTATAGTGAAAGAGCTGGTGTAGTCTTTACATACTCACATATTTTACCATAAATGCACTTAATCCACATTGAACGACTATCGCTTTATGTTAATTACTTCCACACAAGCCGCACACACTGACCTTTAAGCACTTTATATTTAACATGTTCATTTTGTTTATGCAGAAAAGGTGTCGAAAACAATTAACCCGACGCTAATTTAAAAACCTCTCCGTGAGCACTATAATTATGATTTGATAATCTGCTATGGTGTTATTGATGAAATAACATCCTCTCCCCTATGTCTCTCTATCTGGTCTCTCTCTGGTTTCTTGCTGGTCTTTCTCTCTGGTCTCTCTGGTCTCTCTCTGGTTCTACTCCCTGGTCTCTCTCTCTCTCTGGTCTCTGTCTCTAGTCTCTCTCTGGTCTCTGTCTCTATGGTCTCTCTCTGGTCTCTGTCTCTATGGTCTCTCTCTGGTCTCTCTCTCTCTGGTCTCTCTGGTTCCTCTCCTTGGTCTCTCTTTCTGATCTCTGGTCTCTCTGGTCTCACCCTGGTCTCTCTCTGGTCTCTCTCTCTCTCTCTGGTCTCTCTCTGGTCTCTCTCTGGTTTCTCTCCCTGGTCTCTCTCTGGTCTCTCTCTGGTTCCTCTCCCTAGTCTCTCTCACTGGTCTCTGTCTGGTTCCGCTCCCTGGTCTCTCTCTGGTCTCTGTCTCTGGTCTCTCTGGTTCCTCTCCCCTATCTGGTCTCTCTATCTGGTCTCTGTCTCTGGTCTCTCTCTCTGGTCTCTCTCAGGTTTCTCTCTGGTCTTTCACTTATAGATCTTATGGAGCTGTTCTCCAACAGTGTGTTTTTGTGTTTGTTTGTTTGCCTTCATATTGAGAAAAGGTTCAAAATAAATGTAATAAAAGTGCAGTAAAGATTTGTTCATGACGTGTGATTGTGAAAACAATGGTCTAATAAAGGACATTTGGACAGTTACCTGCAAGAATATGGATTATAGCAGAAGCATTGGTTCCAACTATGGCCGGACTCCTGGATCTACAGCCTCAGTCCTGAATCTATACAGCCTCAGTCCTGGACCTACAGCCTCAGTCCTGGACCTACAGCCTCAGTCCTGGATCTACAGCCTCAGTCCTGGACCTACAGCCTCAGTCCTGGATCTACAGTCTCAGTCCTACAGAAAAAACGTTATAGATCTCATAATGGAGAAATGTACAGGTTAAGCGGGTTCTTCTCCCTGGTCTCTCCCTGGTCTCCTTCTCTGGTCTCTCTCTGATCTCGGTCTCTCTCTCTGATTTCTCTCTGGTCGCTTCTCTCTTGCCTCTCTCTCTCTGGTCTCTCTCTGGTCTCTCTCTGGTCCCTCTCTCTCTATGGTCTCTCTCTCTGATTTCTCTCTGGTCGCCTCTCAATTGCCTCTCTCTCTGGTCTTTTTCTGGTCCCTCTCTCGTCCCTCTCTCTCTCTGGTCTCTCTGGAGGTGTGTATCCTTTATATTAAGATTCTCTCATTGTTCTCTTGGTTAACACTGTCCCTGCTGCACTTGTGTCCGCTCAGTCTCTCTGTTTTCTCCACAACCTTCAACTCTCGCCGCCTCTCATCCTTCCTGAGTCCTGCCCAAACAACAGCCAGTCCTCAGGGAAGCTTCAGTCAGTTTGTTGTATGAATTTCAAACTTGCAAATTGAACATTTTTATTTCCAAGTATTCAGTAATATCAATAGAGAAATCAAAAATGTATGTTCTCATAAAGATGTCTAGAGGTGGTGACAACATTCAAAAACACATGCATGATGTTGGTCTGTAGAAACGACATAAGAATCCCAGGTTTCTCTCTGGTCTCTCGCTCAGGTCTCTCTCTCAGGTCTCTCTCTCTGGTCTCTCTCTCTGGTCTCTCTCTCTCTATCTCTCTTTCTCTCTCTCTCTCTCTCACTGGTTTCTCTCAGATCTCTCTGTCTGGTCTCTCTCTGGTTTCTTGCCTCTCTATCTCTCAGGTCTCTCTCTCTGGTGTCTCTCTCTGGCCTTTCTTTTGTCTCTGTCTCTCTCTCTCTCACACTGGTCTTTCTCCCAGGCCTCTCTCTGGATAAAGGACAATGGGGGAACGGGTGAATAGCAATGATCAGACTACAGGTGGTTTTATTTAGAGCCAGTTGCTAAGGCTTTTATTACATAGTTATATTTTCCTTTGGTTTGAAAGTTTGTACCAGAAATCCAATCTATTCTGTTTTTAATGAGTCACAAAAAGATGAAGAGATCCTTTATTCGTCCCACAGTGGGGAAATTTCAGTGTTGCATCGTCAGTTACAGAACAGTAGGAATAAGGAGCACACAGCACAAGATAAATGATTATATTATTATAAAGAATCAACAATTAAGTTTAAAGTCTCTGGTTTCTAGTGCAATAAATATATAGTTGTAAGTAAACATCTGTATATGTTAGCAGCAAAGTAAAGGTCAGGGGACAAAATGATAAAAAATCCGAAAGACTGAAAAAAAATGATAGAATATGATATTATAATTTAATTTAATTGAGTGACTCTTAGACATTGACAAGATTTTTCAAGGGGTCAAAGCTTCTTGTATCTTTGTAAAACAAGATCATTCTGTTTTCCTCTGTTGGCAAATCCTGTTCAAAGACAGACAGAATATGCTCAAATTAAAATAAATTGTGCCAAAATTTGAGAAATTGTTGACATATTTTTATAGTTTTTTGCATTAAAGAAATGTTGTTTTCTTGCGTCTTCTCTGTCCACGCCCAGCTCCAGATGTGGACCAAAGATTAAAAGCCCCTGAAGCCTGTATGAGCGCTCATTCATGTAACTGGATCTGTTACACCACTCCAGCGCGCGCCGCGGTGAGCTCCTCCACACCACGGCGCACTCCGGTTACCGCGCACCATCTGACGCATTTTGCTTGTATGGATTTTTTAAAAAGGCCTGAAACCTGAGATTCTATTGTCTGTGATCTCAGCTGGGACCAGAGCGACGCAGGACACTCAGGAGGACCGACCGTTTGGGAACCATCGGGACGAGCGTTTGGTGTGCGTGTTAAGTGTCCTGATTGGTCCCAGTTTCCAGTGAGAGGTTCATTTTCTGAGACTTCACTGTTTCTTGGATCTTTCTATTTGAGATTGTGGTTTTTTTTACAGTGTGTTTTTCATGCATCATGTGTGTACTCCAACATCATCATATACAATATCATACAACTGCTAGTACAACATGACAGTCACCAGTCAGATGAAAACTTTTGTGGCTCTCTGTGGTCTCTCTCTCACTCTGGTCTCGCTCTGTGGTCTCTGTCTCCGTCTCTGTCTCTCTGTGGTCTCTCTCACTCTTTCTGTTATATCTCTCTGGTTTTTTATGTCTCTCTCACTCTGGTCTCGCTCCGGTTTCTCTCGGGTCTCCTTCTCTCGGGTCTCCTTCTCTCTGGTCTCTCTCTCAGGGCTCTCCCTCTGATCCTTCTCTCTGGTCCCTCTCTCTGGTCCCTCTCTCAGGTCCCTCTCTCTGGTCCCTCCCTCTGGTCTCTCTCTCTCTCTCCAGTCTCTCTTCGGTCCCTCTGTCTGGTCTCTCGGCACGGTGGCTGTGTGGATTGCACTCCCGCTTCTCAGCAAGACGGTCCTGGGTTTGAATCCTAGTTGGTAAAGGGCTTTTCTAAATGGAGTTTGCATGTTCTCCCCATGCCTGCGTAGGACTAAAAACATGCACACAAGGTAAAATCTTCCAGCTCCGGTCCTCACCAAGCTGAGCATCAACATCTGGAGATGGGTTCCCGGGCGCTGTACTAAGGCGACCAATGCTCCTGACGTAAGCTTTAGTGGCATCAGGATGGGTCAAATGCAGAGGATGAATTGCTCTACGGGGATCAATATAATAATAATACAATTTATTCTTGTATAGCCCAAAATCATAACAGAAGTCATCTCAGAAGACTTAACAAAACCATTGAAATCACCAACACAGATCAGAGAATCAACAGTTAAGACACATAAAGAATATAGATCACACATTGATAAATGTCCATACATGTTGTAGAATGTTACAGTGTCCTGGATCATCACCACAGTCCATCTAGTTGGACACTAACTGTCCAACAGACCCTCCTGCACCGGCAAAGAAAAACTCACAAAAACCCAGTGGGAAAAAAGTGAGAAACCTCGGGGAGACCCACATATTGAGAAAGGGATCTGCTCCTCACGGATGGACGGGCTACAGAACCAGGAACTAAGCTACAGAATGAGGACCAGGGGCCACAGAACATGGACAGGACTGAAGCAGCTCCCAGGCGGGTCAGGCAGGGCAGTCCGCAGGAGTAGATGTGTGCCTTTACCTTTACCTTTACTCTCTGGTCCCTCTCTCTGCTCCCTCTCTCTGGTCTATCTGTCTCTGGTCCCTCTGTCCCTCTCTCTGGTCTCTCTGTCTCTGGTCCCTCTGTCTCTCTCTGGTCTCTCTGTCTCTGGTCCCTTTGTCTCTCTCTGGTCTCTCTCGTTTATCTCTCTGTTTTCTCTCTCTCTCTGTTCTCTCTCTCTCTCTCTTTTGTGTGTCTCTCTCTCTCTCTCTGGTTTCTCTCGATCCGGCCTCTCTGTCCGGTCTCTTTCTAGCAGCAGTAGCAGCAGCAGTTGTAGTAACAGCAGTAATCGCAGCAGTAACAGCAGTAATCGCAGCAGTAGCAGCAGCAGTTGCAGTAGCAGTAGCAGCAGTAATCGCAGCAGTAGCAGCAGCAGTTGCAGTAGCAGCAGTAATGATTCTTCGTCCCTCTTGAAACGTCAGTCGTGGCTAATCTCTGCAGTCCGCCCTCATATTTACCTCGTTCATCTTAAAGCGTCACCTTTGGAACCACTGAATTCATCAAAACCTGTCTCTGTTCATATCCGTAATCCGTGATAATCCAAGCTGCGCGTCCGCATCGACAGCCTCATCTCTCAGCCTCATCTTCATTATTTCTCAGTGGAGATGCTCTTCTTCTCTGATCGCTGACTACCGCTGCGGGCCCGAGAAATGCACACGCCGTTTTTTTGAGGCTTTGTACAATGTGCTCTTTTGAAAGTGCGCCAGATCGTGTTTCTCCAAGTTAAAAGCAAAAAAAGTTAGTAAGAGAAGAGGGGTAGAAGCAGAGCGAGGAAAGTTGATTTGAATTGGGAAAGAGCAGAACAGAATTGGCAAATTGGTTGCGAGCCGACAAAAATAAAAGTAAGTAAGTAAGTAATCTTTATTTATATACCGCCTTTCACAGACCAAAAAGCAGTAGTTATTGTAGAAAGAATGTGTCAATGCAGAACAATCTGGACATTTGTTCACTTTTTTATTGATTCGGGCGATGTTTACTTTAAGTCACATTATGGTAAAACTGATACTAAGGACTTGCTTCACATGCGCCCCGTGTAGACTCCACTAAAAATATATATAAAGTGAGAATACGTATATGGTTCTCTCTGGTCTCTCTCTGTTCTCTCTCTGGGTTCTCTATGGTCTCTTTCTGTTCTCTCTCTGGGTTCTCTATGGTCTCTTTCTGGTCTCTCTCTCTGGACTCCCTCTGGTCCGTCAAAATGGGGACCATCCCCAAAGGTGTGACCTACATGGACCTAGTCAGTGATATGATCGGGGCATAGACTATATTATTGATATTCTCTATACTCAGATGAAGAAAGCTGAGCCACATGCTAAATGATGAGGTCCTCTTCAACCTAGACCTGTGAATTGGTCAGATCCAGGATTGACAGCCTCAATCCTGGATCTACAGTTTCAGTCCTGGTTCTACAGTTTCAGTCCTGGATCTATGGCCTCAGTCCTGGGTCTACAGCCTGTTTGTCTGTGGGAGCAGATCTTCTCTCAATATGGGCCTCCCTGAGGTTTCTCACAATTTTCCAAGTGTGTTTCTTAGTGGTCCCTCTCTGATGCAGGAGGGTCTTAGGACAGTGATGATTTATTCATTGTGACAAGTGCTACTCATTCCTACTTTATGTAACCTCTGATGCAACACTGAAATGTCCCCACTGTGGGACGAATAACCATCTTTTCTGTCCACAACTTCGTCCTCCGAGACGACTGCTGTTGGGATTTAGGGCGATACACAAAAACATTGAATTTAATGGAATCATTAGGCTTCACTGAGCTAGTGGGTTAGCAATGTCCATCTGTATACAGGCTAACAACTCAGCCAAGTGAGCTCATAGAAACTTATCCGCTATGACTTTTTGTTAACGTTGATAAAGTCGTGTTGTTTGTGAGCTAATGTACACGACGCCCACTCTTATTGTTCTGCCAGCGGAGAGTATTCAAGCACAAAGAAGGAAAACATGACGGGAATGCTTCTCAGACGAGAGCGGCCTCGACAAGCTGCACATTTTGGCCACGTAACTTTAAAAATGTCTGTTTGGTTTTGGAATCAAGGACAGCTGCTGCACCTGCGACACAATGGGAAAGCACTGCCATAAACATGGACAGAGTGACTTTATCAACACTTCTACAAACAGAAAAGTGAAGCAGCTCCGTCTGTTCCTAATGTCCTCACACTGCTCTGAAGCGGCTTCGTGAGAAAAACAATATGTGCGACATTAATGTGGACAAATGGATGTTGAAATGAATGTTTGAAATTCGCTCGTCTCTGGTTTATCGCGGGGTAATGTGCAGCAGCTCTATGTTTTCAGCAGTAAAACCCCTCACCACACACTTTATACACTTTTAACAATCTACATTGTCAAGATATAAAACCTCTCTGGTACCTCTCTGGTATCTCTCCTTCTGTTCTCCTTCTCTGGTCTCTCTCTTCATGGTCTCTCTCTGATCTCTCTAGTCTATCTCTCTTGTCTCTCTCTGGTCTTACTCTCTCTGGTCTCTCTCTCTGGTCTCCCTCTGGTCTCTCTCATGTCTCTCTCTCTGGTCTCCCTCTGGTCTCTCTCTCATGTCTCTCTCTCTGGTCTCTCCTGTCTCTGGTCTCTCTCTTGTCTCTCTCTCTGGTCTCTCTCTCTCTGTCTCTCTCTGGTCTCCTCTGGTCTCTCTCTTGTCTCTCTCTCTGGTCTCTCTCTTGTCTCTCTCTCTCTGGTCTCTCTCTCTGGTCTCCCTCTGGTCTCTCTCTGGTCTCTCTCTCTTCTCGTGTCCCTCTGGTCTCTCTCTCTTTTCTCTCTCTCTTGTCTCGCTCTCTGGTCTCTCACTGTTCTCTCTGGTCTCTCTCTTGTCTCGCTCTCTGATCTCTCACTGTTCTCTCTCTCTCTCTCTTGTCTCGCTCTCTGATCTCTCTAGTCTATCTCTCTTGTCTCTCTCTGGTCTCCCTCTGGTCTCTCTCTTTCTTTCTCTCTCTCTCTCTGGTCTCTCTCTTTTTGTCTCTCTCTCTGGTCTCCCTCTGGTCTCTCTCTTGTCCCTCTCTCTGGTCTCTCTGGACTTGGTTTGGTTATGATCAGTCACTCTCTCCTTGTATTGGTTAAATGTTTACATTGTGTTCTTTATTGATTTGGAACCTGGGGCTTCTGCTGCTCTCTGTGACAAGGACAATACATTTCATCTTAAAAATGCGGTTGAATTCTGCTATGCACTCTGTTGATGTTGCTACAAAAAGTTTAGAATGTAGAGTAAGACCAGAGCATCATTATAAAAGAAACAGGAAACAAATCATCAAAAGTGCTAAAAAAAACAAATCTAAAAAAACAAAAACAATAATATGAAAAAAAGATCCGTCTTATCACCCTCACAACAGCTTTAATAATACTAATAATTATACATGTTATTTATTTGATTCCTTTCTGAGTACACAAGGTAAAAAGTACATTCAAAGACAAAATACAGAGTTAAAAAAAAGAAACAATTTTTCAAACAAAAAAGTGCCAATCAGAGCGCACTAACAACTCTTTCCTTTGGACGAACACAGATCTTCATTAAACTAAAAGAGTGAGGTAAAGAACCTTTAAGTGGTCTGGTTATAGGGAGGGGCCTCTGTGTGTGTGTTTTTTGTTGTTGTTACAAATATAAATAAAACTGATTGGGGAAAAAAAAATGTTAGTAATATCTCCGAGCTTGCGTTCGTCCAAAAGTGCGTCATTGTCAGTGATTGGTTCCCAAACACATGCAAGCTTTTCAGTCCAAGTTTCCAGTGTGGTAGAAATGACTCCAGTGTAATCCCAGTCTATTTTATTACAACTCAAAGAACTTCGGTTGCATATTGTGATTCTGTTGTTTTGTTGATAGTTAACTGTAACTTTGTTTTCTATGCTTGACCGAATAAACTACTGCTACTCTTACTTGTCTTGAGTCCTTTGGCAACTCCAGACCTGGGTCATTTCATAGTGAGATCGATGGTTGAATGTTTTAAATGCTGCAGTTGTGAGAGATAATCAATGAGTAGCCAACAGAAGCAAGAGAGAGGCCAGAGGGAGAGAGTGATCAGGGAGACCAGAAAGAGAGAGAATAGAGAGTGACCAGAGAAAGAGACCAGATAAGGAGACAGAAGCATGGTACGTCTTCTTTAACCTCACCATTTGAGCTGTTTTCATGCCTCACACAATGTTTTTACAATGGTTGAATTTTATGTTGGCTTATTTCCGTGAAAGTCTCCTGACCACAGCTGTGCTCATCTGCTTGTGCGTGTGTGTGTGTGTGTGTGTGTGTGTGTGTGCGGTTGTGTGCGTGTGCGTGTGTGTGTGTGTGTGTGTGTGTGTGTGTGCGCGTGTGTGCGTGTGCTTGTGCGTGTGTGTGTGTGTGTGTGTGTGTGTGTGTGTGTGTGTGTGTCTGCCACATTGGCCTTGACTTATTTTGATGGAAAAACTGTGGTTTCCTCTCGATCATCAGGAACCATCTGTGGCGATAACAGATTTAGCGCTGGTCGAAGTTTACCGCGCGACGGCCTCAGAGTCAGAGGGAGAGGACAAAAAGAGCGCTGTTCTGTTTGGGTTTGGACCGGGTTAACCATGTCTGCACAGGATCGGCGTGAAATCGAAACGCGCCAGTGTTCTGGGAGGTAGTGTCGGGTCACGCTGGGCTGATATGAGGAGCTCCGGACAGACCGCACCCATAATGCATTGTTCAGGCTTTAGGACGGAGTGGGCAATTATTGTTTACAGGGGGCCGCATGAGAAAGAGAATATATGGTGGAGGGCTGGGTAAAATATTTGAACACATATTTAAAGGTGCCTTTAATTATGATTTGTCTCTGTTTGAATGAACCTGATCATCTGCGACACTTCACTAGAACTACAGTTACCATGAACTGGACTTAAAATCTGATCTGGACTCTGGTGTTACTCTCGCCGTATACATCTGTAAACTAATTAATTAGGGTCTTATTTTGGATCGAGGACATAGGGTTTGATGTGTCGGACTGCCATTGTTAGAAAAAGCTCAGGTCTGAAATGACTATGTACTATGTACTATGAGATAAACAACTCACAGTGTGAGGCTACGTCACCGTGTGGGCGGGGGGAGGCGGGGGGAGGCGGGCTCACAGAGAGAGGAGCAGACTCCTCTCTGGGTCAGCGTGTTTGAGTCGAGGTGACGTCACGTCAATGCAAGACGTGGCTATAAGTATAATAAGTGTTGTATGGTGTAAACTCAAACTATTATCACACATATGCATAGGATGGACTGAAAACATGAAGAAGAGCGCAATATGGAACCTTTAAATAATATTAGTTGTTTACAATATATAGTTGTATGTGAGTGTGTTCACAGTAAAGTGACAATTGAAGTATCTGGACTTTAAAAGGTTATAACTTAAAAACTAAAATTGCTTTCATAGATTGGAAAAAAGATTTCAAACACAGACAGATTGAAGAGATAGTGTGGAAAAAATCAAAAGGAAAGATTGACATTAAAATGTTTAGCAACATTTTAAACGACCAAATTAGCCTCTGATTGGACCATTCTACTGTGACGCCAGTTACATAGAAAATAAAATGTCCTCAGTCTGAAAAAGCAGAAGATGAAATCCCACAAGATTTACATGGTTAACACAACAGAAGGAAATCACTTGATATAAAAAGGAATCGTAAAAAAATAATAAATAATTTATTAATTAAATGACCCCTGAAAAATGTATAACGGATGTGATGAGGACAGTCCTCTTTTCTCTAAAAATTAAACTTGAGGAAAAAAAAATCTGGTCTGTTTTCACATTTAATTGCTTGACAATATGAAAGTATCACTTTGCATCTACTTTGTGTAAAAAAATAGAATCTCTGAATCAAATGTGGACATCTGAAAATATCTATCAAACTTCCAAACACAAAAGCTCATTCCGTCAAATCATCACGTCCGTTAGGTAAAATAAACAGAGCCGCTATAGGAAACTTGTCTAATATATAAAACAGTTATGTTCTAGCAACTTCTAATGGACAGAGGAGGTGTTTGGAAACATGAAAAACATAAAATATCTTCTGATTATTAAAATCTAATTTTTGGCCTTTTGTCACACTTTTGTGCCCTTTAGTGTGAACAAGCCCATATATAAAAAAAAAGATTCTCATCTTTCTCCCACGGAGGGCAAGAGGTGAGAATTCCTCTCCAAGCTCGGGTCCTCTCCCAGAGGCCTGGGAGCTTGAGGGTTCTGCGCAGTATCTTTGCTGTTCCTAGCACTGCACATTTCTGGACCGAGATTTCCAAGTTTGTTCCAGGGATCCGCTGTAACCACTCCTTCAGCTTTGGGGTCACTGCCCCGAGTGCACCGAGGACCCTCTTGTTTGAGTACCCTCTTGGACTGGATAGAACCAGGACCAAGAGGCACTAAAGAAGGACCTGGTACTTCTTAAACATGACCAGTGGAAACTGGTCCTAATCAGGAGAGAGCAGAGCAGAGCAGAGCTGGTGGAAATGGGTCTTAAATGTTGGGAGAAGTGTTATTGTGGAAGGTTGGGCTCTGAAACAATAATGCTGACATTAAGAGAGCCAATGACCTTTTGGGAGAAATGTCATCCTTGTTTTAGAGTAAATGAGCAAGACACATGCACAGACTGAACGGAGCAACCACCAACATACATAAACTCACTCTCTCTCTCTCTCTCTCTCTCTCTCTCTCTCTCTCATAGAGTTGTGTGGCACCTGCTGAAACACTAGAATACAAACCTAAAACATTAGAGTGTGCCATGTTAGATTTAGTTTTAAGTTTCATGTTTTCAGTGGTAGGGGAAACCAGAGCACCCGGAGGAAACCTGAGCAGACACTCCACTCAGAAAGGCCCTCTTTGCTATTTGAACCCAGAACGTTCTTGCTGAGAATCTAGATCTCCGCGGCTCAGAGGCTACAGAAACATGTGTCCCGCTGTAGGAGACTGAGTGATGGAGGATAGACAGAGAGAGAGAGGAGAGGGGTTTACTTTTACATGGAAGTCAAAAGGATCCAGAGAGAGTCCAAACTTTGTCTAATACGTTCCATCTGTACTTAGGTTTAGAGATGTAGAAACTATAGACAGATTTGAGTAGAGAAACTATAGTAGAAAGAGAGAGGTTGAAACGTGTTGCTTTGTCCCTTCCACAATGAAGGATTTTAAAGTTAAAGGTATAAAGGAGGATTTTCCCAAATGTAGGAACCTACTCTCCACTTTTTGTACAAAACTTTCTGGTCTTTTATGAAGAGTACTATCACCAGAATGATTGACAATTGGAAGGAGCCAATAGTCTTAATGATCCACCCAGAGGTAGAAAATCCTTCTTCACACCTTTAAGTCAGCGTGCCTAAGACCTTTTTCTCTTTGCACTCTACAGATAGATGTCATTGCATTATTTATTATCTGTGTTTTGCATGATAGCTTCTCCAGTCTTAAAACACTTGGCATTTGTATCTTGTCTTTCATCTCCTGGTTGTACACTGCACCCACACATGCTAATTACCCACGCCGATCTCAACACGATCTCACACATCCGCGTCTGCAGGCTCCTCCAATCAGAGCGCGGCATTTCTCCACGCTGCCGTAGAGCGCAGACACACACAAAAGGCCTCTCCCTCGACCCGCTGTTCACAAGCTCATCCTCCTCACTCCGCTTTGTCTGCGCTCACGCCCGCTCCACGCCATCTCGTCAGGCCATGAACGCGCCCCCTCGCCAATTACCGCCATTCTCCGCCATTCTCCGCCGCTAATTCAGCCGGCCTCAGAGCGTCGGAGGGGATTGGGCGCGGGGCTTAGCGGAGGAATCTCTAATCCGTCTCAAATCGGGTGCAGCATATTGGCAGAGCTGAGGACAGTCACCGGTGGGGGAGCTCGGGGACCTGCTGGGGGAAAAATATTCCTCCAGATGATTTACTGCAAAAACTGAATAAAGGAGAGTCATCACTCACAATCGACTTTTTCCCTGTTTTAAACCATGTTACAATATAGTAGACCAGAGAGAGACCAGGAAGAAGGATCAGGGAGAGAGACCAGACAGAGAGCGATACCAAAGTGTGGAGAGAGAGTAGAGAGACTAGAGACAGAGACTTCTGGAGAGAGAAGAGAAAGACCAGAGAGAAACTGGAGAAAGACCAGAGATAAACCAGAGAGACAAGAGAGGGACCAGGAAGAAGGATCAGGGAGAGAGATCAGACAGAGAGAGATACGAAAGTGTAGAGAGAGAGTAGAGAGACTAGAGACAGACTGGGGAGAGAGAGAAGAGAAAGACCAGAGAGGAAGACCAGAGAGAGACAGGAGAAAAACCATGAGACTGGAGAGAGACCAGAGAGAAACCAGAGAGAAACCAGAGAGACAAGAGAGGGACCAGAGAAAGACCAGAGAAAGACTGGAGAGAGACCAGAGAAAGACTGGAGAGAGACCAGAGAGAAACCAGAGAGACCAGAGAGGGACCATAGAAAGACCACAGAAAGAACAGAGAGAGAGACCAGAGAAAGACCGGAGAAAGACTGGAGAGACCAGAGAGAGACCAGAGAAAGACTGGAGAGACCAGAGAGAGACCAAAGAAAGACTGGAGAGAGACCAGAGAGACCAGAGAGAGACCAAAGAAAGACTGGAGAGAGACCAGAGAGACAAGAGAGGGACCAGAGAAAGACCGGAGAAAGACCGGAGAAAGACTGGAGAGAGACCAGAGAAAGACTGCAGAGAGACCAGAGAGAAACCAGAGAGACCAGAGAGGGACCATAGAAAGACCACAGAAAGAACAGAGAGAGAGACCAGAGAAAGACCGGAAAAAGACTGGAGAGAGACCAGAGAGAGAAACCAGAGAAAGACTGGAGAGAGACCGAAGAGAGAGACTGGAGAGAGACCAGAGAGAAACCAGAAAGACCAGAGAGGGACCAGAGAAAGACCAGAGAAAGAGACTGGAGAAACACCAGAAAGAGACCAGAGAAAGACCAGAGAAAGATCAGAGAGAGAGACCAGAAAAAGACCAGAGAAAGACTGGAGAGAAACCTGAGAGAGAAACCAGAGAAAGACCAGGGAGAGACTGGAGAGACACTAGAGAAAGAGACCAGAGGGAATCACAACTAATGGACAGGGGAAAAGCTTAACTTAAGAAAAGAGCAGCTCAGGCATCAGAGCTTCACTCACCCAAACACAGCTCCAGGGCTCGTTAGGCTGTCATTCTGCAAACTAACGTAATGGACTGCCGCTGTAGAGAGAACAGATGTGAGCCAATCCAAACCATGTTAGAGCATTTGAACAAAAGTTAATCTATGCGACAAATACATACAGTATACGTTGGGTAATATTTAGCTGAGATAACTTTTTGTCTCTTCAGCTCTGCAGAAAGAAGCTGCCAAAAACTAAGAAAACTAGTTTGTCTAAGAGCCTGTGGGACCTTTATGGGTGGATAAACTTGTGCTTTATTATTATTGTAGCGTTATTAGGACAGCTCGTTTCTAACTTTGTCACAATGGTTCAGGGAGAGCCTCGAGGGGCTCCGCTCTCAGCTCGGGTCAGGAGCCCAAAGAACACACAACTTGCTGCTAACTACTGCTGCCAAAAGTTTAGAACTGAACCGTTTGCATTCGGAGATGGGGAAAGGAGATAGAATTTGGAAATCAGAACATGCTGTCTTTATCTGGTGAGTGGAGATCTAAGGCACTTGAGGCTGAGAGAGAATGGTCCTCTCTGTTTCAGTTTTCTGTCTGAGAAAATTGATCTAAAGATGTGACAGAAGCGAAACATGCATGATGTAAAAACTGCTGAGAGAAGCAAAGAGCCAGGAACTAGAGACATGGGTTTCTTTGCACAGAGAGAGAGAGATGAGAGTAGAGACCAGTGATAGAGATGAGAGTAGAGACCAGAGAGAGAGATGAGAGTAGAGACCAGTAATAGAGATGAGAGTAGAAACCAGTGAGAGAAGACCAGAGAGAGATGAGAGTAGAGACCAGAGAGAGAGAGAGAAATGAGGGTAGAGACCAGAGAGAGATGAGAGTAGAGACCAGAGAGAGAGATGAGAGTAGAGACCAGCGAGAGAGATGAGAGTAGAGACCAGCGAAGTAGAGACCAGCGAGAGAGATGAGAGTAGAGACCAGAGGGAGAGATGAGAGTAGAGACCAGAGAGAGAGAGATGAGATTAGAGACCAGAGAGAGGGATGAGAGTAGAGACCAGAGAGAGAGATGAGAGTATAAACCATAGAGAGAAGACCAGAGGGAGAGAGATGAGAGTCGAGACCAGAGAGCGAGATGAGAGTACAGTAGAGACCAGAGAGAGAGAGATGAGAGTAGAGACCAGAGAGCGAGATGAGAGTAGAGACCAGAGAGAGAAGACCAGAGAGAGAGATGAGAGTAGAGACCAGAGAGAGAGAGATGAGAGTAGAGACCAGAGAGAGAGAGATGAGAGTAGAGACCAGAGAGAGAGAGATGAGAGTGGAGACCAGAGAGAGAGAGATGAGAGTGGAGACCAGAGAGAGAGAGATGAGAGTAGAGACCAGAGAGAGAGAGATGAGAGTAGAGACCAGAGAGCGAGATGAGAGTAGAGACCAGAGAGAGAGAGATGAGAGTAGAGACCAGAGAGAGAGAGATGAGAGTTGAGACCAGAGAGAGAGAGATGGGAATTCCTGAGGTTTCTCACATTTTTCTCCCATTGTGTTTCTGAGTGGTTCCTTGTTGATGCAGGAGGGTCTATAAGGGCAGTGACCGCTGGTTTGACTCAGGGTGATTCACGTGACGTCACAGGCTCAGGCCGCAGATCAAGTTAGCAATCAGTGGATTTATTTCCGTCTAGCAAACGTGCCTGCACAACACTGCAGAATCATCTTCTTATCACAGATTCAGAAAAGATCCCATGTGCCTCTTGTGCTCTGGTCTGTGTGCTTCCGGTGTTTGTGCTAAATAAAATAAATTAGGAGCAGCAAAAACATGCCGTTCGGAAACCACTTCAGAGAAATGCAATTTTCACTGCTCCAGCAATGAACCTGTAAATCAATGGCCTTTTCTAACTTTCATAACGATATTAAAACCTGCAAAAGTGGGAGAAATGGTTTTAATTTGGAGATAGATGAGCGCTACTGTGTTTTAATTCAGTTTGTTTGGAGACCAGAGAGAGAGAGAGAGAGAGAGAGACCAGAGTGGGAGAGACACAGACAAGAGAGAATGAGAGAGAGACCAGAGAGAGAGAGAGAGAGACCAGAGTGGGGGAGACAGAGACCAGAGAGATAGAGACCAGAGAGAGACCAGAGGGACGGAAACCAGAGGGAGACCAAAGAGAGGGAGAGACAGAGACCAAAGAGAGACCAGCGAGAGAGACAGACAGAGACCAGAGAGAGAGAGACCAGAGAGAGAGACAGAGACCAGAGAGAGGGAGTGAGACCGAGACCAGAGAGAGGCAGAGACAGAGACCAAAGAGAGACCAGCAAGAGAGACAGACAGAGACCAGAGAGAGAGAGAGAGAGAGACCAGAGAGAGAGAGAGAGACAGACAGAGACCAGAGAGAGAGAGAGACCAGAGAGAGGGAATGAGACCGAGACCAGAGAGAGAGAGAGACCAGAGAGAGGGAGAGACAGAGACTAAAGAGAGACCAGCGAGAGAGACAGACAGAGACGAGAGAGAGAGACCAAAGAGAGGGAGAGACAGAGAGCGGGAGAGAGAGACCAGAGAGAGGAAGTGAGAGAGACCAGAGAGAGAGACAGAGACCAGAGAGAGGGAGTGAGAGACCAAAGAGAGGGAGAGACAGAGACCAAAGAGTGGGAGACAGAGACCAAAGAGAGACCAGAGAAAGGGAGATGAAGACCAGAGAAAGAGAGAGAGACCATAGAGAGACCAGCGAGAGGGAGATAGAGAGAGAGACAGAAACCACAGCGAGACCAAAGAGAGGGAGACAGACAGAGACCAGAGAGAGGTTATAGAGAGAGGGAGACAGAGACCAAAGAAAGACCATAGAGAGAGACCAAAAAGAGGACACACACACAGAGAGGGAGAGAAAGACACCAGAGGGAAAACAGAGTGAGAGCGATATCAGAGAAATACCAGAGAAAAAGGCCAGAGAGAGAGAGAGTGAGGAATGAGACATGAAGTGAGAGAACACAGAGAGAGAGAGAGACCAATGAGGAATCCAAGATAGACCAGAGAGGGAGATCAAAGAGCGATCAGAGAGACACCAGAGAGAGACAGCAAAGAGAGACCATAAAGAGACCAGAGAGAGACAGCAAAGAGAGACCATAAAGAGACCAGAGAGCGAGAGCAAAGAGAGACCGACCATAAAGAGACCAGAGAGAGAACTTTCATAACCATATTACAACCTGGCAAAATGGGGGATTTGTTTTTCCTTTGGAGATAGATGAGTGCTCGTGCGTTGAGTCGGTGCCGGTGCCGTCTGCAGACCTCATAACATCTTTAAGGCAGGCTTTTCAATTAGACTGCAGCTCTGGCCATTTGTAAAGGTGGGTTTGGAAAAGGCCACTTATTCAGTTTTAATTGCTTGGCCTGAAGATTTCAATTTGCGAATCCGGATAATTGGGGGAAAAGCTATTATTGGTCATTACCGAGGAACAGGTAGCGGCGAATTTAAGGTTTTATGGAAAGGACGGGCGTTGGGCCGTGAAGGGAGGGGAGATGGTAAGAGATTTAGTGAGAAGGTGGCGCTCACTGGGGACACATGAGTGAATATGGAGAGGAAGTGGTTTCACAGAGAAGGACGGAAAAAGACCAGAGAGTGTTACAAATAAACATCACACTCTAATTAAGA